TGATTTCTTGGAATTTTTCTGTCCAGGTACACACAGTTCTCCAGGAGTAGCACCCTTGTTAAAGAGTAAACTAATTTATAATTTTCTTTTAATTTATGAGGGAAATAATACATTAAAAATTGAAGTAACACGATTAATTGAATTAATGCTGACTCTGGTTCTCTGTGTGTGCTGAGGCTGGAGCTCCAACTGAAGGCTCTTCCACCATGAGTACAGGTGTAGGGTTTCTCTTCACTTGAGTGCCCTGTGGTTTAAGAAAGAGAAATTCTAGCTGAAGGCTCTACCTCATTGATTGCAGTTATAGGGTGTCTCTTCTTGAGTTCTCTGGTACATATAAATGTGAGAGCAGCATCTAAGAGTTCTTCCACATTTATTATATTTATGGGGCTTCTTCCCAATGTAAATTCTCACATGATGTCTAAGGTCATGGCTTTGTCTTATGTTTTCCCACATGATGACACTCACAAGGTTTCCTCTCCAGTGTGAATGAGTCCACGACTTTGAAGTAACAAAAGTTCAACAGAAAGCTCTTCCATAGTTATTCCAGACATAGAACTTCTCTGCTATTTGAGCTCATATATGTGAATGAAAGTTGGCCTCTGATGAAGGGTCTCCCACATTCACTACGTTTTTAGGGTTTCTCTCCAGTGTGATTTTTCATGTGTATAAAGGCAAAGCTCCAGCTGAGCTATTTCCCACTTTCATAACATTTGTGGGGGTCCCTCCAGAGTGAGTTCTCTCATGCCATCTAAGTTTAGGTCATTGACTAAAACTTTCCCACATTGATGGGATCTATATGGTTTCTCTGCAGTATAGTTCACCTTATGTTATTTATACTTAAAAAAGGAATATTGGCCAAAGACTCTTCCAGATTAGTGACAAGTTTAGGATTTTTCTCCTGTATGAATTTTTGGTGTATATAAAGGTGAAGGCTCTAGTTGAATTCTTTCCCACATTCATAGCATTTATAGGGATTCTCTCCTGTTTGAGTTAATACCTGTGAAATTCACGTTGTTGCATGTGAAATCTCCTTACATGCATTACATTCGATGGATTCTCCTCCAGAGTGAAGTCTCTGCTATGTGCAAGGAAAGGAGAGGCTGTTACAGATGTCCACGCACGTCCATGTACTCATTTCTCTATGTACTGACTCTAGTCTGCAATCTCACTGGTGGTCTTATTTTAAAATAAACTCCCCATGTTCGTCCTATTCACATGCAGTATTACTTGGTGAATTCACACTGATTTTCTATTTTGTAGCCTCTCACCTGCATAACTTTCTGATTAAATTTTAAGTCTTTATTTTTCACACGTTATATACACGAGCTACGTTGAGGCAATTCCCCTTTTATTGAAACTGAAGTTCCAGTTTGTGTTCAGGGAAATGTTATTCCAAAATTTAAAGCATTCCAAATATTCTACTGGGACAGAATTTATCCTTAGGCTTTTTTTCCATCAGAATATTGTCATGAACTCCTAATTTATCCCATTACCAGGTCTCTAATGTGAAGACTGAGTTCATCCCCAAGAAACATACCGTTGACCTGCAGATAAATGGGTCCTTCCTGAACGCATGCTGTGTTGGTATCATTTCATGTTCTTTAAGGTCACCTTCCATGTCTGAGAAAAAGAGAAAAGAAATAGCTCGAGTGACTTAGGGGAAGGAGAATTTTGCAAATGCTCACAAGGCTAATGTAAGTATGTGTCAAGTATTGGCTTTAACACAGAGAAAAGATGTGAAATGGAGGAATATAGCAACAATTAGATACATGATATAGAACATTGATGATGCATACTATTTTTAAGAGTAAAATGACTGAAAAATAAAATGAAGGTGGGATGTCAGGGAGATTAAGACACAGTAAGTCAACAAAAGGGAGAGACTGAAACAAATGTTGCTACATGAATAATAGTAACAGAAAGAGTACTTTCTCAGAAGCCAAGGAATGTACATAAAGTTAGATGAATAGAGATTAAAATGCTCAAAGAATTAGGACACTATCAGAGCGATATTTCTGCATTGGCCTTACAAGATGTGAGAAGACTTCTTCCTCAAGGAAATCTGCAGTTGACATTACAGGTCCTGTTCTCTCACTGACCAGGCCCCTCTCCACATAGAATCCCAAGAGCCTGGAGCCCACCTAGAGCTCGGACTCTGGGAATCCTCTTTCTTCCTCCACACCTCTTCTCCTGCTACAGCTGGGAAATCACATCTACTTGTAGAGGCAAAAACCATCTGTGCAAACACGTATATGGATTTGGAGTTCTGCTTTGGGATCTGTGTGTGGTCTTCAGGTTCATGTCCGAAGGAGGAGAAAGGCGAACAGGAAAGAGCAGCACAGGGAAGGGCATCCTGAGCTCTGGCAGCACCACCAGCCCTTCCCCAGAGCAGAAGAGTGCTGACCTTTTCTTCAGATGTTAAGGAACTGTCTGCTGATGCTTAGGTCCCAGGACTTTGACAGACTGCAGGATCATTTTTTCCCCCTTTTCTCTGACCAGTGTGAATCAATTGTTCTATAGTGGATTAAACCTTATTTTCAAAAAAAAATAAAACTCCTATAGTATAACTCAATGCCAACCCTATGACTTGAATTTTAAAGGGACGATATCTGTTCTGTGTAACTTTGTAGGGTTAAACTTCACCGGGGTTTGCACAGCAGAATGGTTTTTGGAAAATATTTAATGCATTTATTTATCCATTTAAGGCCTCCATGCAGTGAGTGCCCAGCACTGGTCTGAGTGTTAGATATGGAGCCGCAAGAAAGACGTACTACAGTTATCGGAAATTCTACTATCTTTTGACATGGCAAAGATGAAGTAAACAAATGAACAAGATCATTTCGCCCAGGTTTTAGTAAGTGCTTTATGAGTGTATATGTGTCAGGGTGGGGAGGGGAGTGAACTCTGGGGAAGCTACTCTGGATGATTTTTTATTAAATAAATAAATGCTGACAGTGTCACCCACAGAGAACAGATGGCTGTTGTTCCCCACCATCACATCCCTGTGCAGCTTCCTCTGAGTTGGTTCTGACAGGCCTCCCTTTTATGATGAAGTTTATAGCCACAACTTAAAGGTGGCTAATTCCTAAAAACATGCTGGACTTTCTGGTTCAGGCTTCTCCATCCCCAAGAGTATCCAGAGGTGATGGTTGAGGGTGACTGCACTGGGAAAAGGCAGCTGTGTGTATCAAAAGCTCAAACCCTTCTTGAGGCCAAGTCCAATATTTCTCTGGGCTGACTTGGCATATGTCTTTCAAATGCATCACATAGATGTGCACACTCTGAATACACGATAGTTTTCATAATTAAGGAATATCACATAACTGGTGTGAAATAACCAGCACATTCTATGACAGAATGTAAGTTCTGAGTTCCGGGCTAGCAATTATAATATTTGTACTTGGGAATTAATAAATAAACCCTGTGCTCCACCAATTTTTATTAAATCTACAGACAACACAAGGCAAGAAATATCCATCTTCTGCCACTAATCAGCTTTGATTGTGGGCAAATTATTTCCCATTTTGAACTTCACAATTTTCAGGTGTGAATAAGTTTCATAACCTCTTGAGAGAGTTGAGTGATTACATGATCTAATAGGTAAGTGCTTCTCACATAACAAAAGCCAATAAATAAAAGCTATATATTATTATATGTTATTTATTATTTGTTCAGGAATATTGTCATTAAAAATTCAGAGAGCCTTGAGGCAATGTCCACCCCTCTGCGTGACTCGACAAGTTTTATACTAAACTTGGTGTCAGGAGGTGCTGCCTGTATCATCTCCACCTCATCAGGTGTTCATCACCAGATGTGAGGACAAAGTGCGTATGATGAGTCCAGGTGCAAAGTTCAGTTGTCCCCTTGGTTCGCATCTGCTGTGTAAGGGGAATTCTTTCCCTTGGGAAAGCAACTCAAGGCTCATGGAGTGAAGGGCTGGAACCATGGAGAATCGAGCCAGCAGCCACTGGTGGGGATGACTGGGGCGCCTGAGTGAATGTCTAGGGGCTCCCAGGATGAGGGAACAGGCTGAGGAGGCCAGGTCTGCAGAGTCAAGTTTAAACAAGGTCCCCACTTGCATCTGGGCCTGGGTGGAGCAGAGACATTTACGGGCTGGGATGCCAGCTCCTGCCTGGAAGCTGTAGTAGTATGGGGCAGAAAAGCAGGAGATGCGGCCCATCTTTGTTTCTGAAGACACTCATCTTTCTGGCTCCAGACACCAGGCTATATAAGGAAGACTTGATTCTTATTTTTCAGAATTGTTTTAGCTATTCTAATTCCTTTGCCCTTCCAGCTCAGATTCTTTAAAAGATAAATGCATATCCTGTTGTTGGTGCTGGCTTTTCTTTTCTTTATTATTATTGTTTTTAACAACCCTGGAAGTTCTACAAATGGCTATTTTCAGTGAATAGTTCATTATCAACATCTTTCTAAGTCAGTACCTATAGATCTATCTCATTTAAAGAAATATCAGTAACCGAAACACAAATTGATAATAATGCATTGTGGGGATGTACTAACCAGAATTTATTTACCTACATCTCTTAATGTCTATGTTTTTGAAATACTCTGTTTTTATATTAAGTAATGCTGATATCAATATTCTTATTACACATGTAATTTGCACAAATGTTCCCCACACAGCCGTTTGTTATTTGACTTTGCTTGTGAAATATGTAAAGATCAATTTGTCGTCAAGTTTACCATTCATTTCTTTGATGGCTTCTGGACTTTTTAAAGAAATGCTTCACAAGGACTCCACTATGAAATCACAAATAAAAATTATTCATACATGTTTTCACCGAGTACTTTCATGGTTTCAGTTTTTCACTCCACATAGCCCGAGTCCCCGCAATATCCCTAAGTCCGCCCCGGGAGCAGGGACCCGCCCGTGTGCTCGGGGATCCTTCGCTGCAGCCACCCGGCGAAATGTTCCCAGCACCCTCCCCCTTTCTGTCTGCTGCCGGGGTCGGGCCGCGTCGTACGGAGCCGGGGGCTAGCTCCGAGGCGGACGCCCCGGGACGAGCTCGGGCGTTTGGGAGGCCCGCGCTGCACCCTCGCCGGCCGGCGATCGGGATCCGTCCCGGGTCCGTTCTAGTCCTTTGCCGGGCGCTACATAGCGGCCGCTTTGAGATCGTCCCTTCCCTCCGTAGCTTCGGCGACTTTCGCGAGGGCTGTGACTCAGCCGCCAGGCCCGAGGCAGAGTTCCGGGAGGCGCTAATGCTGGCGGCGACTGTCCCGGTGGCGCCGAGGCGTGGGCGCTTCCTGCTGTAGCCGGAGATTGGCTGAGCAGATTTGTATGGTGTGAGGCCGGCCTTGCGCTTCGGGGACGTGGTTGAGGTGGTCCTGGTGGGTTTACCAGCACGCCCTGGTACCCCTCCGCCCGCAAGAGTGAGCGTGTTTATAGTACACGGTGTTCGTGCCCGACGTCGTCCTCCACGTGCTGGTGGTCGTACTTTCTCAATTTTTCCGAGTCATCCGAAGGTGCGGAACGACACGGATGTACTCGGACGGCGCTTGGCTTTCCCCGGCCTCTCCGCTGGATCCCGAACTTATTCACCAACTTTTTACGTCTCTCGCCGGAGTGGAGCCGGCCCGGATGGAGAAACGAGGAGGCACTGGGAGGGCCACAGCGGGCCTCCTCTTCCTCCTTCCCACGGGACCATGACGCCCGACCCACAGGCCGTCTGGCGGTGCGTGCTCGCTGACTTGGGGACCCGGCTCCGTCCAGGTGCCGTCGCGGCAGTGGAGCTGCTCCCCGGCGACCACCTTCGTTTCTCCAGGTTCCACGCGAAGCGGTCACGGGCCTCCGTAGATGGGATTCCCTTCAGGTCAGGCTGCATATACAATGTTCCCGTCACCTGTTCTCCTCGGCGCACCGCTTGTTTGTTGACAGCACACGCAGGTCCCCTCACCGCGGGGTACGACACGGAGTGTCGCGGGCGAGCGAGGAGGACGCTCCAGGCGGCGTCCGTCCCACTTGTGTCTCGGTGGTCGGAGCCCCTAACAAACGTTTGGGAAACGGGGTGCGGCCTGGGCCGTCCGCTGATTGCCCGGAGGAGCCCCGAGCCCGTGCGCAATCCTGGTTGGAAGCGGTTGTCTGAGGCTGCCCCACGGAATAAGCTCTCTCTCTGGATCCTAGGAACGGTCTCTGGACCCGCGGTGGCCCACACCGGACCGAGCAACGCGACGGAGGGCGGCCTGGGTCGACCCCAGGAGTTAGGGCGGCGGCTGTACGCCTGCGCCCTTGCACGACCCGGGTTCGTCCCGCTGAGATTCGCACCAGTGGAGCTTCACCTGGGGGCTCCTGCAGCAAGGTCGACCAGATGGCTTGGCAGCGATATTGGGGAGGAGAAACATATGCATTGGATTAATGTGTTTTTTTTCTTTCAGTGTAAGACTCACAGTAGACTCACCACAATGTGGGCATTCATGAAATAAGAAATCCTGAGATTTTGGTAAAGAAAATTACCATTGTTTTTGTTACTCAACTCTAGTGTAATTATTACCACTGTTTGCAGTTAATTTTGAAAACACTGACTAAAGATTCTTTATCCCAAGTGTATTTGAAGATGTTGAAAGAGGGTTTCCAGAATACAGAATTTTCTATATACGCCTGGGAGTCAGGGAACTCATCCCTCTAATCATGAAGTCCTGCCCCACTCCCTGCAGGAAGCAATCTGGAAAGCCAGACACAAATCTGTGCAGCAACAGACCCCAAGGGTCAGTGCTTGCTCAGTGACTGAAAACTTCCTCATTAGTCATTCTTTGCATTCAGAGCCGAATGTAGGAAAGCCAAATATGTTGCCCTAGGCAGTCATGCGGGCTTCCCCTCTTCTTGTCCGCCGCCTCCAGCTTCCTCACATCACAGCTTTCTTTTTTGCCACCAGAAAGCACTTCTGCGTGTGCTTGGGTCAGTGTAACGTGAGAGGCGGTGTCTGTGCCTCTCAGTCTGTAGTGCCGGCTCTGAACAAATAGTGTTTGTCTCGCTTGGGAGGTCTTTCCTCATGTCTACGGAGCTTAGTAGAGTGAGAATGAGAACCAACCAATAAACAAACAGCTCAGGATTATATGTGTTTTTGACGTTCTCTTATAAAAATCACATTTACTCATGATGATTTTTAAAGTGAGATAGATACACATATCATAAAATTCACCCTTTCATAAGTGTACAATTCAGTGATTTCGAGTTGACATAGAAAGTTGTACAACCATCATCAGTACTAACTGAGAACATTCCATCACCTCAGAAAGAAATCCAGACCTCATTATACAGTCACTTCCCCTCCCCACTCTTCCCCATTAGCCTTCAGCAACCGCCTGTGTGCTTTTTGTCTATGGATTTGCCTGTTCTGTATATTTCAAGTAATTGCAATTGCACAATTCTGGACATCTCTGTCTGGCTTCTCACACTTAGTGTCATGTTGTGGCGTCTCATCCATGTATTAGCCTGTGGTTCATTCATCTGTTTCACTTAAGAATTTGCCATTCTAGGGCTTCCCTGGTGGAGCAGTTGTTAAGAACCCGCCTGCCAATGCAGAGGACCCATGTTCGAGCCCTGGTTCGGGAAGATCCCACATGGTGCTGAGCGCCCGTGCACCACAATTACTGAGCCTGTACTCTAGAACCCACGAACCACAATTACTGAAGCCTGCAAGCCTAGAGTTCATGCTCTGGAACAAGAAAAGCCAACGCAATGAGAAGCCCAAGCACCACAATGAAGAGTAGCCCCTGCTCGCCACAACTAGAGAAAGCTCGCCCACAGCCACGAAGAGGCAACGCAGCCAAAAATAAATAAATAAATAAGAAATAAGAATTTGCCATTCTAGATAATTAAGATATACACACGTGCACAGACACTTTCTATCATTTTTTAAATGTGAAACATACAGAATATATAAATTCCATCATAACCATTTTATGCACACAGCTCCATGGTACTACGTCATATTTTCCTGCAGATTCTCAACTTGCTCCACCATCCTACAGCTTCCCCCAAGCCCCACGGACACGAGCGCAGTCCTGTTGTATTTTCTCACAACCCCACAAATCACCCACCCCGACCAGGACTCCACAAATGGGTGCCTCGTGCTGGCAGCCAAAGAAGAGAAAACTTGTGCAGGGAGTGGGGTAGTGGTGGAAAATGGAGAGAGAGACGGAAGGAGACAGAGGTGGCAAAAGCGTGATCCCCCAGAACCCACAGTCTCCCAATCAAGTACAGCCCACTTATCCTCAGAGTGGTGTGACGTACGTTGATGGCATCCAGGGGGGCATACTGCCAGTGAGGCTCCACTCCCCAGTGTGCTCTGAGCCCTGGGCTCCCCAGGCTCCTGTGAGTCGGCTGATTCTGTCACAACCTTCAGCCCTCTGTGGATCACACGCTCAGACGGGGACTTTTGATTTCCCAGGAGACCGTGCACACTCAGGGGGTGTGGCCAGTTGCAAAAGGTCAGGACCAGCCAATAGCAAAGTCCTGTCCCCTGTATTTCAGTGCAGCCCTGGCACCACCCGCCCTTCTCCTACTCACTCTTTCATTCCTCTATGAAAACATTCCACCACCACTTTGCAAGCAGGGGTTTCGGGGACAGCAGTGACAGGGGACAGCAAGAGCTGAGCATCTTACAGTGAGATGCCAGGAACTCATCCAGGCTCCACCTCAGCCAGCATAACTGTCAGATTTACTTAGAGTTAGGAACAGAGGCTCCAAAGGCACTATTGACTTGAAGTAGGCCATGCAGAAAGCTTAGAACTGAGGTCTGGTGGCCGGCAAATCTACCAAGGAGAAACAATGAACCCCAGGTAATCATAATCAGGTTGGTTACAGGCAAAGAGGGAGGAATGTGTCCTGGTGGGGGAGGGGTGAAAACTTCCTCTGTTTCCGCTTCCCCACTTCCCACTGCCCAGGGGCCCAGACACCGGGCCACGTCCTCCTCAACACCATGTGCTCCCATAATGTCTTCTCCTGGCTCAGGCACCACAGAAGGGCTCCTGACTTTAAGGTTCTCAATACTGAGAGGTACAGCCATGAAATGTCTTCAAAGTGTAAACAAATTGAAATGAAAGATAACAGACCTCCAGACTACTGAAGTGGCAGATGAGGTGAGGGTGAGATAAGGTCCCTTAGGCTCCTGGTCCTGGAATGAGGAAGGAGGAGGAGGAGGAAACTGACCTTCAGTGAACTTGACTTACACATGGCCTGTGTTTAATCCTTTCACTGTTCAGTCATTTAGCCATCACCACACATTTACGAGCTCCTCTCTGAGTCTCGTCCAGTGTCCTCAGAGTTCACAGGCTGGAGAGGTAATCAAAGCATGATCACAGCCTTGGGGTGCTGCACATGGGGCCAAAGGCAGCAAGAATGGGTGGCCATCAGCATGTCTTCATGGATGAGGCAACATCTGAGCTGGGTCTCCAAGGATGAGTTCTCCTCTCGCCAAAGTGGCACTGAGCAGGAAACACACAAGATGAATGAATAAGGGAATGAAGGAATAAATGGGCATGCCCTTAACACCACACAAGAATGGCAGCCCACCAAGATGGTGGCTTGGGAACACAGGTTGCACTGGGGGAAGAGTTGGGAGAGGCTGCAGCGTCATGCCTTCCTCACTCCCTATATGGGCTTTGCTGCCACAGCGACCTGTGCTCTACGTGCTCAGGGTGACATGTCTGTCCTCTGGTCTGGGATCCCGTTGCTCTTTACCAGCAACGACCACATGTGGTGACACATGTGTATTTGTCTGCCACATGAAGCGCCTTTGCGAGGAGGGAAAGTTTGGGGTGCATCCCAGGATTGAAAAGAAAGAGAGGATGGTGGGGAGTCCTGCAGCAGTGGGATCATGGTGCAAGCTGCTGGGGTGGGGTGAGGCAACAGCCATTCCTGGAGCTTGGGGGACGCTTTAGTGGCTTTCTTAGCAAAGGGACTTCCAAGAAAAAGAAATATAACTCAGTTTCGGCTGCACTGACTTTGAGAAGCTTGGCGGACCTTTGGGCAGAGACCTCTGGAAGGAGCTGGACATAGAAGATGAAAGTGTGGGAGAGTGTCATGATCAGAACTCATGACCCAGACGAGATGGGAGGAGGTGGAGTGGAAGGACACTGAGGACACAGAGGAAGTTCATGAACTGGGGTCGTCAAGGTGGAGACGCCTCAAGTTAATTCCACAGCCTGCTAGCTCCTCACAGAGTGCTGGGCCCAGGGAGGTCACTCAATAGACATGCACTGAGTTGACCCAAAGTGACCAAAGTTTTCACGTTGAGTCACTGGAATAGAATATGCTGAATTCAACAGATTGGTGGTGAGGCTTTTATGTTAATGAGCTAAGAAAGTGAAACGAAGAATACAAATAGAAGCAAAATGCAGACTCAAGAGAAATCTAAGAATCCACACTAGTAACTAAGACTCTCAACATGCAGCCCACTGTGGCCTCAGGGCCTTTGCACTTGCTGATCTCTCAGCCTGGAACACTCTGCCCTCTCAATTTTTGCTCACTGAACACACTCAGAAATTTGCTCAACCTTCCTTCCTGACTATTTCTCTCCAAGATACATATCACCATTGGACGTTGTGTCCATTTTATTTTTTTCTATCTCCCCCACAAGTCTGTCGCCTGCATGAGAATGGGGACTCCCTCCTTTTTCATCACCCACTGCTACACCTCAGTGTCTGGAACAGCCCTGGAACTCAGTGGGAGACAGCTCGGTATCAGCGAGCTTATGCCAGATGGAGAATGAAGGGTTTAGAGGACACTCGGCTGCAGGTCTTGGTCTCTTGTTCTGCATGTATCTCACTATTATAATAAAGAGTCAACATCAGGCCCAGGGAAAGCAGCTGCTCGGACTTGGGGAAAATCCTATTTATAACCCGCACCTCCTGCGCTGAGTTCATATGGGTGTACGTCAGGTCCCAGGCTCTCACAGGCATCTCCCCTCCTCCGACCATCTCCTCGCATTTCCCTGAGAAACCCCGGCTCAGGACATCCACCAGTCCCTCCACTTGGTGGGGCCGGTGCTGAGCCATCAATATTTCCAGCTGACAAAGCGTTTTGTCTGTGCTGTGGAACATAGAAAACTCTCTCCTCCACCTTTGTCCCATCTGAGTCTCACCTTCCTCTTGGGCACACCTGCACCCGGAGGGATTCTGAGTTTTTGTTCAGCAGGTGAGAACCCGCACATGGCAGGCGCTGAGGCTCCTCCAGCCATCACGGTGCACCCGAACCTCCATGACGAGTCCACAGGCTGTGTGAGCAGATGGGGTCCCCCTTGCGGACTTCCCCCGGGCTGGGCCTGTACCTTCTTCCTCCCCAAACCAGAACCAGAACCAGGAGACTGGTCGTGGCTCTGAGTGTGGAAGGGTAGGAGGGTACAAGAGGGTCCAGTACACTGTGATTCCGGTGAGGGTTACCAGCGGTGTAAGAGGGACAGCGGGGCGGCTTGGCCTGCTTGGTGGCCGGGATCTAAGACTGCTTACAAGCTGCAGCTGCACCTGCCAAAGATGTTGATGGTGACAAAGTGCTCCTGCCTGTGTAGATGCCAGAGCCACTCACACAGATCTCTCGGAACCAGTTCCAATAAACACCCGCGCTGATTGGCAACAGGGGAAGGGCTGACTGTGATCCAGGAAACTCCCCCTAACCTCCGGGGCACATTCTGACAGGGTCTCTGAAGATGCTTAAAAGTTCTGCTTTGGCTAAGAAGACACTGGAGGATTTGAATACTGGCTTCTAAGGTACATTTTTGGTAACGTAGAAAACTGTATTATTTCAAAATTTAAAGCCTACGTTATGATTTTAGAACCAGATTACTTAGATGACTACTAAAATGTATAGTGCAGGCATAGATGAAAATAAAGACTATGTTGTTATAAACGGTTTTAACATCAATTTGTATTTTCCTATATTTTATATTATAGTATAAAACTGGTGTTTCTCTCTCTCTCTCTCTTTTTCTCTTTCTCCCTCTCCTTCTCCCCAGCTTTAAGATGTGTGTCACCATGTGGTAGGTGCCATTTCTCCTGCACCATGTACACTTCATTGTGTAGGAGAAGTGACAACATTTGCTCACAAGAGTGTTAATGTGGAGCTGAGGCGCACGCGGACTGGGGCACTGCGATGTGGTGAAAGAAGGAAGGCACTTGGCCAGGGTGGATTTGCCCTGGCCTCTGGGCTCCTGCTTTGCCCACACACCTGGGGTGCCCTGGTTCACTCTTGACCCAGTAACAGGGGTCAAAAGGAGCAGTGCAGGCAGCCCCAGCCAACACCTTCCATATACTTCTCTCCATTTACATCATGGGCAAGGCGTTCCCTCGAAGATCTTCAAAGTTCTGGGCTCTTCTGATTTATTTCGTCTGCATGAGTCTTCTTGCCAGTGATGTCACTAATTAATTAGCCTATACATTACAAATTTTAACATATATTATTGGAATATAAATATTATTATAGTATTGCTATACTTTATATTATTTATATATTATGTTTATATAGTTGTAATAAAGTAAATTAATAAATATA